CAGTGAGGCAGACAGTGAGACAGACAGTGAGGCAGACAGACAGTGAGACAGACAGACAGTGAGGCAGACAGTGAGACAGACAGTGAGGCAGACAGTGAGGCAGACAGTGAGGCAGACAGACAGTGAGACAGACAATGAGGCAGACAGTGAGACAGACAGTGAGGCAGACAGTGAAGCAGACAGTGAGGCAGACAGTGAGGCAGACAGACAGTGAGGCAGGCAGTGAGGCAGACAGTGAGGCAGACAGTGAGGCAGACAGTGAGACAGACAGTGAGACAGACAGTGAGGCAGACAGACAGTGAGGCAGGCAGTGAGGCAGGCAGTGAGGCACACAGAGACGCTGGCCCCCTGCACACCACTAACACTGTGTTGATTCTAGGGCTTCATGAAACACAACACGTCTCGCCAGAACGAACACTGCCTCACCAATTTTGACCTTGCTGAATATCGGCAAGTGCTGAGCGACTTGGCCATCCAGATCTACCAGCAGCTTGTAAGGGTGTTGGAGAACATCCTTCAGCCGATGATTGGTAAGACAGTGTCCCTGAGCACCACAGTGCTTGGCAGCAAGTGCAGCCAGTGTACTGTGTCAGGCATGTACTCATGTGCAGAACACAGCAGTAACTACAACAGAAATCAGTCTCCACGTGACAGAAACGTGCTCATGTGAATGTTCTGTTGTCTTATTCCCTTGGGAGATGTAGCATGTATGGTAGGAATTAGTCAAGTACAAATTTGCAGGATATTTTAAATAGCACATTTTTTCAAGTTATGAAACACTGTTATCTCAAGGCAAATTAGAGGCTCTTCACTGCTTCAGGCTTCTCTTATTTTCTTCCCCTGACCATGTGCTCTCCACGTTTCTTCATTTTCACCTCCCTTAGTGAGCTCATACATTTCATTTTCTTTCACAGACCCATGGTTAAAACAGCTAGGGACATAAAAGTCCAGGAAGGTGATGAGATGCAGTTATTTCTTCTCCTGTGCTGAAGAAGCTATACATTTAAGACACTGTAGATTGGCCAGAATGCAGGAAGTCAACACAGAGGTGAAGGCCAGCTTGCATCAGTCTTTCTTGTCTTTGCCTGTGTGTCTTGGCTAGATAGGTAATTTGCCTCTCAGCAGCCCTATCCTGTCCCCATCTCCCAATCATTTAATAGCAACAAGAAATGTTTTCAATCAGTATAGGGTTTGTGGGGAGCTAAGTTAAGCACAAGGAAATATAAAATCAATCTTCAGTCCAGGCATAGTCGTTGTTTTTTAAGGGCCTTCCAGGCAGGGGAGGGACAGCCCAGAGTAGACATCTCAGAGGAGATGTGTCAGAAGCTTTCCATGGGGGAATAGGCCAGACACTGAGACAGAGGCAACCCTGGAGAAACCGAGGTTCTCCTAAATTCTCCCTGCAATTGTGAGGCCCTCAGGACAGGAAGGGGCTCAGCTCTCCAGCGCCACACCACCGTCTCTGACATGTCTTCTCCAAGACTGCATCCCAAGGCCATGCCTCTCTTATGCCTGAGGTCAAATGCAAAGAACACTTATTTAACCACTCTCAAGTGTGTGCAGACCCAAAGCTGCTGCTCATTTTAGAAATGCAGCAGTAAGAGTACTTAATACTGTGGACGGTTTTTGCATTTGAAAAACTTACTACTTCATTAAAGTTTAACATTCAAAGGCTTGTTCTTGGGGCAGTTTCTGCTCCTACTATGTTCACTCTCACATCATAAAGTGTGTGTGCATGTGTGCACATGTGTGTATGAGAGTGTATGCATATATGTGTGCACTTCCCTCTGAATCGTCTTAACAGTTGAAATGCTCCTACAGTCTCAGGCATGTTAGAGCATGAAACAATCCAGGGTGTATCCGGAGTGAAGCCCACGGGCCTCAGAAAGCGAACGTCCAGTATCGCGGACGAGGGCACCTACACGCTGGACTCCATCCTGCGGCAGCTCAGCTCCTTCCACTCAGTCATGTGCCAGCATGGCATGGACCCCGAGCTAATCAAGCAGGTGGCCAAGCAGATGTTCTACATCGTGGGCGCCGTCACCCTCAACAACCTCCTTCTGCGCAAAGACATGTGCTCCTGGAGCAAAGGCATGCAGATCAGGTGAGCACGCGCCAGCACGTGTGGCCTCTTGTCGCAGCCCCACTTGCGCCTCCAGGGCTGCCGACCTGGGGCTGCTGCCCCAGGGCCGTGCGGTGAGGACCGGACTGGGCTGAGCCAGTTCCTTGGCCTGGGCCGACTCTCATTGCTAGGGGGAAACCCTGCTGCTCTGCTAAGCACCGTATTTGCACGAGTGTAGGGGTGTGCAAGATACACAACCATGGATGCTTGTTTTCTCTTCTTGTTTATCTGTTTTGATTGCACAATAAGCAAATATTAGAAAAAATGAAACTTTCTAATATTTTGTGGTTGCTCTTAGAAATATCTTTCCATATTAGAAAATTGAGTAAGAATAGACCCAACGGGCTGGAGAGATGGCTCAGTGGTTAAGAGCACTTACAGCTCTTGCACAGGACCCAGGTTAGGTTCAGCACCTACAGGGTGGTTCACAACTGTCTGTATTTCCAGTAGCTCCTTTTCTGGCCTCTGTGCACACTACATGTCTACGGTACATATACATATACCCAACCAAACACTCATACACTTGATTTTGCCTTTTTAAATTTCTAAGTTAAAGAAAAATAATAGCCCCAAAGAGAGCTAACGCTTGAAACTATACTCTATTTTTGCTTATTTTAGTGTCTTGTTTGTTTTAGAGAGACTTGTCTTGGACTCACAGTTTTCTGCTTCAGCTAGGAATGGAGGGATGCACTAACCATGCCCAGCAGCAACGAGTTTTTATACCCACTATTCCTCATCACTGCCGCATCATTGTAGCATAACTCAATGTGGCAATGGTTATTCTGAAGCATCCAGTATATTCACCAGTATACTGGGAAAGGGGGATTTCACCAGGTGGTGGTAGTGTGCACCTTTAACCCCAGCACTCAGGAGGTAGAGGCAGGTGGATCTCCGTGAGTTCGAGGCCAGTGTGGTCTACGGGTGGAGTTCCAGGAACAGCCAGGGCAACACAGAAACCCTGACTTGAAAAATTAAAAAAAAAAGGGGGGGGGGTCCACAAAATCTATAGTTACTTTTAGCAAACTATAGTGTTCTATATTTACCATTCTTAGCCACATTTCACTTTTAAGGTATTACCTCTATTCAGAGATTCTAACTTTTCATGAAGACATCTTTTTTTTTTTTTTTTAAAGACAGGGTCTCATGTAGCCAGATTCAAAC